ACGATACATATAAATTACTTAATTAGTATTAACCATTCACGATTCACCCCACATTTTTAAAGATTGTCAAAGCATCAACAAGCCACCAGGTATTGCACATATCCATGGGTGGCGGTATTAATTTAACATCAGGTGAACTGCCCGCTCGCTTCACAAATTTTCTTATAAAAAAGAATTAATTCTGTTTTCAATCCCATATGTCATCCGGGGATAAATTAAAAAAAATATATTATGTACTAAATAACAATGTATTTGTTGAGAAAAAAAATTACAAAAAGAGGATACCTACGGAGTTTCTTTCGCCTGTTTCTTCTCCGTTAGAGGAACCTCATTACGAAACGGTGGTAGATTTAAAAAAAATGACTATCGATAAATGAAATGTATATTTCTTATTTCGATGAATAAATGATTTGAATTTGTATTTGAATTTGAAAAATATTCGTGATGCATTGTAGCCCCAATATAGAAATGCAAGAAAAGGGCACAGCCAGTAGTAACATGCCGAAGTCATCATAGTTAACAACGATACTTTTTCAACATTCAGTAAATTGGTAGGTAATCTTAAATTATATCGTAAATAATAGACTTAAAAAATAGACTTCTATTTGTTTATAGATCTCTCATTATAAATTATAAATCTATTGTAGATTATCGCTAGCTACGTATAGCAAGCATAAAACAGCAACTGGTTTTACATAGGGATAAACCCTCTGTATAGAGGAGGCCTTTGTCCAGCAGTGGGACATGTATAGGCTGTTACTTTACTCTTTACTTTTACATAGGGATTGATGTAGCTCTCCAAATAAACTTTAGAAAATTTGATGACTCACTGGTGCAGTTACTGTGGTATTGACTTCCGAGGGTCGTGGGTTCGTTTCCCACACGGGAAAACTATTTGTGTGACCCACAGATAACTGTTTCGGGTCTGGGGTCCCCCATGAAAATGTGTCCCACAAGGATCGATCTTGGGCCCATTATTATTCTTAGTATATATAAATGATCTCCCCTTTTATGCCAGTGAGTTATGTGATGTTGTACTGTTTGCTGACGACTCATCGCTTATTTTTAAGGTTGACCGAAATGTATCGAATTATGACGACGTGAATAGTGCACTTTCGCTTACATTTTTTGATTTTCACAGCATCTTGTCGTACGGCATTTTGTTGTGGGGTAGTGCATCTGATATAAATTCAATATTTGTTATTCAAAAAAGAGCTGTCCGAGCAATTTATAACATCGGAGCTCGGAATACACTCAGAGATCTTTTTAAAGAGATTAATATACTCACTGTTGCGTCTCAATATATTTATTGTAATATTTTGTATGTTAAACTGAATATTAATAATTATCAAAAGAATAGTGACAGACATAAACTAAATACTAGAAATAAGGACAAACTAACTACGCCATTATTTCGCCTACAAAAAGTAAACAGGTCGTTCATGGGGCAAAGTGTGCGCATGTATAATAAAATCCCACAGTCGATATTAAGTCTGCCACTTGATGAATTTAAACGAAAAATTAAAAGTAAACTTATGGCTAAAGCCTATTATACTATTGCCGAATATCTTGACGACGCCAATGTAAAAAAAGTAAGTTAATACTGTTGATTATCACGTAGGCTAAAACAAGACTATTGTACTTGTACTATTATATTGTAAACTGATTTTTTTAAAAAAGAGCAACTGTTGAGTTTCTTGCCGGTTTCTTCTCAACAGAAACTGCTTTCCGAACCGGTGGTAACTTACGAACGTGTTAATTTCTTGTAAAATTTTGACGTTTCATAAGAACGCGCAAGCGTCTATGTGAATAAAGATATTTTATTATTATTATTATGATTATTATTATTATGGGTGCTTGTCTGGGTATTTACATCACAGGATAACCTAATACTACAGCAAAGGCAACCGAACTAACAACACCAGAATGAGAGTGCCTGTCCCATTTTATTAAGTAAGCGGCCAGTATCCAAGCCTACACTTACAGCTTTGGGGTATGGTGCGTTAACAAAACATTTCCCACGCACAGACATTCAGACGTGTTTACGAAAAGGAAACGAGAACAGTTTGTTTAAACAGGGGGGCTATTAAGTAACTTTCGTAATAAACAGGTCCGGTTTGAACCAATCCTTATTCTAGTCAAGCGCCAACCGTAAAGGGTTCTATGGTGGTATTGGGACAGGACGTCACGTACGAAACGCGAGCCGCGACACACGCAAACTTAACGCGTGAGTGAAAGTGATAACGGCCATACAATGATAATGTAAATAATAATTTACGCGTTACGTCACGTTCTATTTTGATTTCCGAACATATTACACCATTCATGGAAACGGCATAGATAATTCAATCCGATTTAATGCCATAAAATCGAAACTGGTTTTATTGAATAATGCGCAGTATTCAAATAATTGAATGAGCGACGTCAATTGCATTAGCCGCCATTCTTTTAGCCGCAACTATTGGAAAAAAAAATTCCTTATCCTTGTCAATACCTTAGCGAATCCATCTATTATATACGACTGTTATGATAAACTGTTCTGAATATTAAAGGCACTTTAGGTAAAGCTATTTTATACTATAATTTCAAAATCTATATCTAATATTATATGAATAAACCTACATTTACTTAAACTTTGCGAAAATTAAGTTTACCTAAATGTTACATAATAGCTTGAAAAACCGTTAATCGATGGGGGTTGGAGGATGCCAGGCTCGTATTGGTCATTGTAGGACGACCATCGTAGTGTAGGCTCAGGATCGTGCTTCGTGGCTGTCAGTACAGTAGTGGACTGAAATAAAAATAGTGAAGATGAAATGTAGGCTAGTTTAGATATGACAAACGTTCCCAAGGAAACGAACAGGAAGTTGAAATGAAGCCAATTAATGAATACGAGGATAGAAGTAATATTTGATATTATTCAATATCGCCATTTTTTATATACCTCGCTCCAAATTCGTGGGCTAAGAGGCTAGGCGTGGGAAAAACGCGTGAAGTGGTCTCGGTCAGCTGTAACTCTGACACGCTCCAAATACGAGACACCAGCCGGTTTGATTTTATTGCTTATTCACTTCCATATTGCGAACATGCGCACGGCCGTGCGGTCCGTGAATTTATTACGCGTAAATAAATAAATAAAATAATAAAAGATTTAAATTGGATAGGAATCGATCCAGCGATGTCTGGCACTGACACTGTCATATTTGTATAAATAATGAAATATTGTAAAAATGTTCATAAAATGAAAACTAATTGGCCAAACTATGGAAAAATTTTATGGGACCAAATGGCAACTATTCCACATCGAACTAAAGAAGAATCACGTAAATCGGATCATAAATCTTAGCGTAGGTAATCGGTGTACATACATCGAAAAAAATATACCAATCGAGTTGAGAACGTCCTCCTTTCGAAGTCGGTTAAAAATATAAAACACGGGTTTGTTACATCACTTAGAACTCGAGAACTGTGATATACCGATTTTCATAGTTTTTGATTTGTTGGATTTGTCTCCGCCTGGAATAGCAGAATAAATATTAAAAACAATAGAAAGTCGATTAAAAAAATCATGATAGAAAAATAATTTTCGCAAAAAGTTCCTGCGTTTCGTACTTCGATACTTTAAACCACAAATAATATGAGTTTCAAATCGACAAGATATATCCACAATATTTGGATTATCATGTATTGTAGATTTAAAGTTACTTTTGTTTCGTTCGTTGTGGCGTTATAAGGGGAAGCCCCATTTTCAACAGTGGACACCATCGTCTTACGGACGATGATGATGAAAACTTTTGCTCTTATGTTTGAGAAACATGAACATGAAGTAAGGCCTTACTTCATGTCACACTAACGCGCTGTTTTTCTTGTGATTTCTCGTTCTACATCGGTTAAATGATTAGCAATGCTCCTATGCCATTATTTTTTATTTAAAAAATATGACGTTATTAGCTGTAGTAGGACTACGCAACATTATTTTATATTAATTTTCCATTATTTAATCTGCTATTCCAGGCGAAGACAAATCCAACAAACCAAAAACGATGAAATCAAAGCATTTCTCGAGTTGTAACAAACCTGATCTTGTTTTATATATTGATAAATTAGATCTCAAGTTAGAATTCTAGCTTTTCGATGTCGTTAGGGCCTGCCCCCAACAAAAGTGGGCATAGCTCTTTAAAGTTATAAGTACTATTAATATCATATTCAACAGTTGTGATAAAAGTATATGTTTGGCTTCGATCACGTTGGCGTTAAAAAAGCGTTCCAGTGCTTTGTTTATTGTCTGCAGAATAGCACTAGGCTGCTATACGCAAACCTACAATTTAGAACACAATTCGTATCGTATAGCGTAACAAGTAAACAGCAATTGTGCCTTATATTCCCACGGGCTCAGTTATTACCTTTTTAAATGACACACAGTTAAATTTCACTTTCGCAAAGTTGGAATAGTACAAATTGCAGTTGACAGATAATAACGCACGATTGAATGTGACGTGCGAATTTGGTGTCCCCGCAGCGGTGTACCAGGAACTATTAAAACACTAGAAAGTTCTGTTATTACACAATCACACATCGCATTGTACTAATGTAAATTCCTATTGTACTGAGCCATTAGTCAGTTATTGTTACCAAAATTTCATAATGCAAGTGTGTAGTTTGTACGAATCTTAACGTCAGTGGTGAATAAGGTAAAGTGGTGAAAAAGCCTTTGGCATTTGTTAATTTAAAAAAAATATTCATTAAAATCTAACTGTTTCTTTTATCTTTGGTCAAAGATAATAAGTTAACTAGAACCATGGGTAGTACACATATACCATATATTTATAACGTGGTAATAATATGTAAAGAAATATTATTTCGATGATGGAAAATATCTGAGTCCACACGTAAAAATAAACTTTAGAAAGCAGATAGGAGCATTAGACATATTATTATTCAATGAGGGGAAAACAACAATGAATAATAGAAACGGCTTAGTGCTCACTTATAGATTAAACATGGTTAGACTTGTTATAATGCCATTGACGACGAAGATTATTCAACTTTTCTTCTCGTGTACTCGAATCCGGTAAAAGATGTATAACATAAAATCTGAGATAGAAGAAACGCGGGAAATTTAAAAATCAAAATAATGTTGCTTCTCGAAAGCCGAAGAGACGTCAAGTAGCACTATTGAAACTTAATAACAATAAATAAATTATTAAAAAAATTAAAAATTTCTTTTTTCTTTTCTTTCTTTACCCACGGTATTAGCTTATATCTTAATAAAATAAAATGAAAACAAAAATATAATTAATCATACACCACGTTAAACGTGGTGTACCTATTAATATTTTATTTTTTGTATCGGTTACTGTACTAGATGAATCTTAAAATGTGTAATTTCTGTAGAAAAATTATCGAAAAGTTTTCGGAAGTGCGATTTTCAAACCTGCGTTTTCATTCTTTAATCAACTAAGCGGTCGATGACGTCACGGTGAGAAAATCTCGACATCTATCTTCTTTTATATGGCATTTTTAGTAATGATTAGTGCCGTCGTTATCAGGGTAGTAGCATACACTTGAGTATATCCTACTATCCGAATGGACCGGGACTTAACTTTAATTCGGGACTTCGCTCAAGCAACCCAATTTTAAGTCCCAGAGCGATCACCCATGAAATTTCAATTTTAAGTGCTGATTTAGGACCTGTCTTGTGCTAAAGCAAAATATCGCGAGGAAAACTGTCTACTTTCGAAATAATAATTAAAAAATTGTGAAGTCCACCAATACGCAGTGCACATAGGAGGTGCCCAGAAGTGGCAATTATATAGTCTGTTACTTTACATTGCGCCATCTAATATGTATATTTTGCAGCACTCGCTTAAATGTTTTTTAACATGAATATTTGAAAAAAAAAGTAACTAAATTAATGAATTCTTTCAACTATTTTTCTACAATAATTTCAGATCTTTGACTTCTTTCAGATCTTCGATCTTATACTTTGCTACATATATAAAGACTTAGATAAAAACTTATAATGGAAAAACACTGTGTTTATCACATAACGTTTTTGCAGTACTGATTATCGAACTCGCATCCTCTGGTGCAAGAGATAGGTCTACTCTCCACTTCGCTAATCTGGTCCTCAAAGTCAAATAGAATCATTGAAACAATTCAATGCATTTCAACGGCATAAATTTAAAAATGTAAAAGTAATACTGTCATCAAAATAATATACTCTTTCTTTTTGGTAGGTTTTCAGCTGTGGTTGGTTGCAGCGACCCTGCATGTACTGCTATTGACAGCTGTCTGCGAAAAGCATCATCGACGCTCCGCCCAAGGGGTAATAGACTTTAGTATACAGAGATTAGCAATTGGCTGCCTGGAAGAAATTGCTACCTTAGCAATAAGGCCGCCTATTATGTTCACTATATTTCTTGTATATCCCTTTGCGTTTTTCATTCATTAAGCGCATTTAAGTTAATATTCTATTCTATTCTAGCCGTCATAAATAACATTATTAATTTAATTTGTGAAATTATCCTTTATTTTTAATAATTATAATTGTAAACGTTACAAAAAAAGTCGCTGCCGACGACGTTTGATACAATTTAGATTTTTTGATAACTATAAGTTATAAAAACGAATTATCGCATTGCAGAATTTGCCGGTGTCGAAAGGCGGCTGGCGACCGGTTATAGGATCCGGTGGGCTCGTATACTCGTCATTCGGCACCGCTCCGCTGCACGCGCCATCGTACAAGTTGCCGACGGTCGAGTACTACCCGTCATCGGCGCGCCCCATAGCAACTAGGGACGCCGCAAAGCTCACGTCGATAGCGCAGTCCTACCGGCCGACTACGCTTCGCACGGTCTCCGCCGCACCAGCCGCCCCCGTCAACAATCCCATCAACGGCTACCTGAACCCCTTCGCGCTGCCCAACGGCGGGCAACACTTTAAATACGTCCAAAGCCACCCGTTCGACAGCTTCCTGCTGAGGAACGGCAACCCCTACGCGCCCCGCCCACAGCAGAAGTATCCCGCGAAGCAGAAACAGCACAGCCCACTTAGCAGCATCCAGCCCGTCAACTTCGGCCAGTACCAGACGCCGAGGCCGCAGGAGTTGGGGCTAATCGACTCGTACGGCCGACCGCTGGATGGCAAGAGGCAATCGGCCACGGAGATATTCAAGCCCGAGGTGTATAAGTTGCCGGACTCCAACACCGCCCAGCAGCAGGTCGTGAGGACCGCCCAGCAGCAAACCTTCGCCGGCGTCCACAACGTGAACCCGTTGGCGAATTACGCATTCCAGGACAGCCCTCTGCCGCCGAGTATTTTAGGTAAGAAAGGGAATATTTTAATTGATCAAGTACAATTTACATTGACCAAAAATTACATGTTTTACAACAAAGCTGGTGCATGCAACATGGTGCCTAGAACACTAGCTGTATTTCCTTGCAGAAAAGTTAATAATGCTAAACAAATATCTTTACCTTTGGTAATTTTTTTTCAAATAGCAAATCTATAAATATTTTTTCTCTTCTATATGACAGCTATCTTTAGGCCTCTGAATTTTGTTTTATTGATTAACACAAACTTAACAATCAGAATTTGATAGCTAAGTGACAACAATTTAGAATGACATTCTATTCTATCGTGCACTAATGTTACTTACTTTTGTTTTAGGTTCATTTGGATCCTTTGGTCTGCAATCCGTTAAAGGCAGAGATCCGCAGTTTGCATCTACGAAAACCGCTTACACGAACCAACCGCAACCCACAAAGCAAACTATTTTCAACTCGTTCGGCTACACATCGAATAATTTCAAATCGACTCCGAGTCTATTTTCGGCGACGACGCCCAAATTGCAGACTACGCAAAATCATTATCAATATTCGACGGTAAACGATTTTCGTAACGCGCCAACCCCGCAAACTAAACTGGCTAATCCACCAAAGATCGACCCAAATGCCGATGGAAAGGGCATGTTCAAACCGAGTCCACAGGATCCATTCATCAAAGCCTATCAGAACTTCGACTTGAACAAGATAACAACGTATAGTCCAATCGTACCAACAACTGCGTTACCAAACTCTTTCTACTTCTCCACGCAGCATAACGTACCCCTCAGGAACTACCAAAATCAACAGAACGCGCAGATACAAAACTATCAGAGCCAACAAAACCAGAATTACAACTACGAGAACAAAAAGAACCGAATCAATGACAATTTGGCAGCGGGTATTAACCAGCAAACTTACCAGCAGTACGTTGAACCGCCTAGAACACAGCTGCAAGAAATCCCCTCCTCCGTACCCCAGCGCGGTCACTACGAAGTTACTGAAAATCACGATGACGTTATAACCAACTCTTCTCCCTGGGCTTCCTCGCCAGAGACATACCAAAGCAACTTGAAGGCAAGCGAAGAGGCAACTTTGAAGCAGGAGATAATCGATTCAATATTCCGGCAGCCGACCACAACGCCGATTGCTGACGTCACGGAAGAGTTCGTCATCGTGACCGAAAGCGAGAAGGGCTATGAAAACTCTTTGAGCTACGACGGCCAAGTCGAATCACAAAGTAGGCGGCCCTTAGACGATGAACTCGAACCGATTGAGAAGAACAAACTGAAGGACTATTACTATAAAGTTTCCACGCCTTCGTACGGTGATCACACGCACTCTAGGAGAACGAAGAAGCCTGCCGAAGCGTCTAGCCCAATCAAGTCGGAGACAACAACCGGAGATAGCGTGAGCCAGGAAAACAATGTGCCGATAGAGGCCCTGCCAACGTTGCCACCAAACCAGCATTTTAAACGCCCGAGCACGCCCGAACCGCTCGACAAGGACAGAATACGTAAGAGGAATAAACTAAGGAGACGACGTCCCGGCTTCGGTAACCGCAACAGGGAAGAGGCCACCACACGTAAAATTGAACAGACGTCACCCGAACCGGTGCTAACGACAACGGTGGCGGAAGAAATCTATACGATAAGACCGAGGGCCAGGCCGTCTAAGCAGGAGCAAAGCCAAACGACACCCAGCGTAACGACCGACTTGACGACCAGCGCTCTGCCCACAATTTCGCCAACGGTACCGTCAATCGTGAGGAAAAAGATCGGCCACCGCCGACCGCCAACCACACCCGCCGATAGAGTAGAAACGACGACCACGTCATTCAGGGCCGACGATACGAGCAAAGAGTCGCCGATCATGAAGATATCGTCGCGGCCACAGCTCTCCAAGCTGACGTCGAGCATCTACGAGTACAAAGCGAGCGACGTACCCGACTACAGTCACAAACAGGACGAGAAAGATACGCCGACCAGCGATGTGTCCGTAAGCTTGACGGACTCACTCAAGAGTTCGGCCGAAGTGCACAAGGAGTTCTCCTTTCATAGAGACGCTAAGCCACTCGATGTGAAGGAGACCACAACAGACGTCTTGAAGGGGAGCGGTGAGTACGGCTTCGAGGCGACCAACACGCCCGGGCCGGAGACAACGACGCGGCCGCCCAGCAAAGGGCAGCGGCCGAGGCCGAAGAACAAACTCGACCGGCCCAAGTTCAGCGTGAAGGACTACAGGAACCGGCTGAGCAGCACCACGAGCACGACGGAAAAGACGACGGAGACCACGCCCAAAGCAAGGTATCCGCAGCGAAAGGCGCCCTACGATAGCTCCAGCGACGACAGCGGCGCCGAAAGGAAACGCTTCACGCCGAAGGAGCCCAGGCACAGGCACAACAGGACGGAGAGCAACGAGCTGATAGAGAGGGAGATACACTCCACGCGGCAGCCGGGGCGACAGAGACAGACGACGGCCGAGAGCGAAACCACAACGCAGAGGATATCCGCCCGCATCCGCAATAGCAACCGAAGGAAGCCCACGGAAGCGCCAGCCGAGACCACAACCGCCACCGTTCACAGGCGACTGGTGCGGAAGAAGATAAAGGACTCGGAGGCCGGCGAATCCGTTCAGGACATAAGCGTTACAGAGGCGAGCTACGACCAAAGCAGCGAACGGACCTCGGCTCGATCGGAGAGCGCGATCATGAAGATCGCAGATAAGAAGCATCACGACCCGATCGAGCGTCTGTTCGAGCACTCTAAACGCGTTTCGGACCTGACGCTCGCCGCCAGCAAGGACTACAACAACCCGGGAATGTTCAAAACCGTCTCGGCCAACAGCAGACGGATACCGAACTACTTCACGATAGCTACCGACGACCCGATACTGCCGATAGAGGCCTTCTTCCCGCAACTCAACCAAAGAAGGAAACGTAAGCCTTACTTACTTTTGCTCGGTTCCTATATTCAACGTTAGTTACATAGATTCGTAACTTTGATAGCGACTTGTAGATTAAAGGAACGCTAGTAACTCACTTTCCGTAGGTAATGCAACGACTCGTAAGGAAAACGCCTCGTTATGTTAATATAGGAACCGGGTGACGCCTTTTATCTACAAGTCGTTACGGAAGTTACGAAGCTATGTAACTAACGGCCGTTCGTCAAATATAGGAACCGGGAATTAGACGCGCCCGTCGATACCAAATCCCCTTCGATTGCCAAAGCGACCGGCGTTTATTGCGCTCCAAAGTTTCGTCGGCGATGATCCGTTTGTGTCGAAAATAGAAAAACGAGTCCAAAATACTTCTTATATATGTTTAAAATTAAGGAAATTAGTCTGTACTCTTTAGATTATCGTCATTTCGAGGCTTCCTCGCGTTGGTGCTCTGTGTAGTATTTATAGATCGTAAGAAGTCTGATCCGTTGTTTAGATTATTTTGCGATAACACACGAATGAGTGCGCGGTCAAAATCACTTGGCCGATTGTGTGAATGACTTGATATTTATGTAAACTGTAGTAATGTAGAGTGTAAATAAAACGTTCTTTTAACAAAAATCTTTTTTATTGAAACACTTGTTGTATCGCTTGTCGTTCACGCAGCGGTCGCCTCCTCGACCGGTATTTTGGGCATGTTCTGCATGCACTTCACTGCTGCCTGATGGATTGTCTTGTCCAAGGTGTCTGCAATAAGAAAAACATGTCAATCAATAAAACATCAAATTGATTTGTCCAAGTTGTCTGTATTATAAAAAACAATAGATTGGCCTGTTTTTCATATTGCAGATTTAGATTGGTTTATTAACCACAACATCAAATTTATTATAAGCTTACAAATATTGAGTAGTTAATTTTAAATCGTTATGTAAGGTGCCTAGCCGTGATAGGTCAGTGATAGGCTCGCTTAACACAAGTACAATAAATTCTAAACGTTTTTAGTTTTAAGTGCTGTTTTATAAAGCGCTCATCGTGAGGTAACCCGCATATTTTCGAAAGAATCATAAAATCATTATATATTTTGAAGATATGCTACCTCTAACCGCGATGTAGTCGCGTGGTGTAAATGTCCTGATACTATCTGTACAGGAGGTCTTTGGCCATCAGTGGGAAATACTTATAGGCTGTTACTTTTTACGTTTATTAAATATATCTAAAATAGGAACAGGCGCACACTATCGTCTAAGATCGATTGAAATGAAAATAGCTGAAGATTTCAGTATCAATTAAAAACTGGCAAAAAAAATAAGTGTTATTTTCGATGGTAGATAGAATTGATTGATTGATAGGCAAGAAATCTTCAATATCAAATAAAAGCCGGCAAAGGTATAGAACAACTGCTGATATGTTGCGAATATCGGGCGTCGGTATTTGCTATCACCAGGTTTGGCTTAGGTTTACAACAAATGAGCTCACATATCTTATGCTGCCCCTTTATTGGGAATCGAAGCCTCAAACTGATCGGATTTGAGCAGATGAACACGTAAGGGCTGTCACTCTCCCCGCCAGGAAAACTGAAATAAGAGATTGAGATTGAGATTGTTAATTGCCTATCCGTGATAGCTCAGTGTACTCGCTTTTTACTCAACATACTCGAGCAACCTGAGGTCAAATTCTATCAATGATATTATCGATTGCAATTTTAAGTGCTAACTTATCACGTTCTAATAACGTGAGGAAGCCTGGATATATTCGAAATAAAAACAAAAAAATATAGATTTCGAGGTTATGAAGTCCGCCATTCCGCTGTGGGATTGCGTGGTGGACTATGCCCTAATACCCTCTACACAGAGGAGGCCTTTGCCCTGCAGTGGGCTACCTTGAAATACATGTAGGCTGTCACTTTACTTTTTAGATTGTAACTTATTTATTAAGTGTCCGGGCAAATGCCGGTTTTGGCTAAAATAAAAACCGATACAGAAAATTATACATTAGGTAACCTCTTCCGTTTTAGATGTAATGAACCCAAAGTGAAGTATGTTGGTTGCTAATTCGGAGCAAAATTCAATTATTTTAAGAAACTGAAAATTTTTTCAAAAGAAAAACAAAATATAAAAATAATTATTGGTTCAAAGAAAAGCAAAAAGTAGAGAAATCGCGAGTCCACTTACAGCTTCTGATACTCCTCCTGGGGTAGACAGTTGTCGACGGTGACGCAGCCCAGAAGACAGCCAGTAGGATAGAACGAGGGGAATTTGAACTGTTTATCTGCGAGCAACACGACGGGATAAAGAATCAAATAAAGTAAACATGAGGAGCTATTTATGAACCGTAATAGAAATTATTTGGGTTTTTTCGTAATAGAAATTTATACATAACAAAAATTTTAATTTTTAGTCCTTATTTTAATTTTTTGTACTTAAGATGAAGATTAAAATGTTTTAAATTAATGGTTTAAGTGGTGTTAAAATGGTTTAAGTTTTCGAGTGTCAGATGGCGTAGGTTCGATTTCCTCTACCGGAAAAATACCGGTTTATATCTACAGTATTATATTTATTTATTTACAAAATAAAAGTATGTTTATAAGTTATCTAGTGCCCATAGTACAAGCGTTGCTTAGTTTGGGACTAGACTAGTGGGACTTGCATAGCGCATGAAGTCTGATTTGGTGAGAAAGGCGACCCGCCGCAGATATGCAATGGGCTTGGTGGACTCAGCGAATCAGCAAGGCAAGGTGGATGGCCAAGGGCGACGTTAGAAGGGTTATAGTAACGTCGGCTAGACACATCATCCAACCTCTCCTTCAGTCGTAGCGGTTTTCCGTTCCACTGAATCAAGGAGTGGAAGGACGAGTGCGTGCGCCTGCGTGTGCGCGAACGCTTGCGCACCTTAATATATCCTGCGTATCTGACCGCTTCCGCATAATGGACTCCGATGACGTAAAGTCCCGTAGCGATGGGAGGAAGTTGAAAGGTCTGGCTTGATGCAGGCTGGGCTTTGTCTGACTCCTGCACACGGGCGGTTCCAGTGGTGTGATTACATGCCGTGGTCGCTTTCGCACTGCAAATGGGGGCGACAGTGTGGATTCGGCAGCACCTGGGATGACAAAGCAGCCCTATTTAGGGAGGCACTGCTTTCCTCGTTCGGCCGGGGAGGGGGCTAGAAAAGGTGCCCTAAAAAAATGCTCGTTCCTACTTGAAAGGTGGTAGTAGCCACGGCTGCCATCGCATCAACCTAATTCGTGGTCGAAGTAACAGAAACAATAAAAACGCCATAAAACCATCTGTTATGACATTTGGCGCGTGGAACGTGAGAACGCTACTTGATCGAGATGGCAACGCCTGCCCTGAACGTAAAACCGCCATAGTAGCTCGTGAACTTTATCGTTATGATGTGGATGTGGCTGCACTCAGCGAAACACATCTCCCTGATGAAGGAGAGCTGGTGGAAGATGGCGGCGGCTATACTTTTTTCTGGAAAGGTACCGCTTGTTCAGAACCTCGATTTTCAGGTGTAGTATTTGCCATCAAGAATCAATTAGTTAAGCGACTTGAGGAGTACCCCGTACACATTTCGGACCGCGTGACCACCTTGCGCCTTCACCTGGATAATGACAATTTCCTTAATATCATCAGTGTCTATGCTCCAACGCTGGATAAGTCTGATGATATCAAGGACAAATTCTATGATGAATTATCTCAATGCCTTGACAGCATAAGCTCCAGAGAGCAGGTCCTGTTGCTAAGAGATTTCAATGCCAGGGTTGGTCGGGACTATGAGGCCTGGCCTGGAGTTCTGGGTAGACACGGCGTTGGCAAAATGAACAATAATGGTCAGTTGCTACTCAGTTTTTGTGCTCAATACGAACTTGCAATAACGAACACAATGTTCAGACTTTCCGCCAAGCACAAGACTACGTGGATGCACCCAAGATCCAAGCACTGGCATTTGATCGATTATGCTGTCGTACGGCAAAGAGATATCAGTCAAGTCCAAATCACCCGCGTCATGCGCGGCGCACACTGCTGGACTGATCACCGACATATTGTCACTAAACTGCGTTAGTGAGTAGTCGCCAGTTAGTGAGATTGGTGATATCAGCTCTGCTTGGAGTGCGTTGTCTTCTCATCTCATGGAGACTGCCTCAGTTACTTTAGGTGTAAAACACCGACGTAATGAAGACTGGTTCGATGAGAATGACGTAGCTCTCAGAGCGGGGTTGGATAAGCACCGAGATCTTCTGCGACAGCATAAGAGACGAGGAGGAAGCGTTGCGGTGCTCAAAGAGAGTGACACTCAATTGCGTAAGCTGTCTCGAAGATTAAAAGATAGATGGTGGCAAGACAAAGCCTGTCATATCCAGTGGCTTGCTGACACAAACCAGCTTGGGGAGTTCTACAACGAGTTACGCAAACTGATTAAAACACCCTACCGAGTTATTGCCATCAGACAGCAACAAAATCAACATGCGGCTGGCATTGACCTTATACCAGGCGAGCTGCTTAAGTACGGCGGTGAGGAGTTGCACACTTTGGTGTGGGAACTATTTGTTCGTATGTGGGAGGTGGAACGAGTCCCGCATGATTTCAAAGTGTCGCGCATAATTGCACTCTATAAGAACAAGGGTGACCGGTCCAACTGCGACTCCCACCGTGGTATTTCGCTTCTGACAGCCCCCGGGAAGGTCTTCGCAAGAGCCCTTTTAAACCGCCTGAAGCTTTTGTCGGAAAAGATTTTGCCTTTGCGGTTTCCGAAGGAGTTCGCATCCGCTTCCGAACAGATGGCAGTCTTTTCAACCTGGCCAGACTTAAGGCGCGCAGCGCCCAAAGTGCCCTCAGTAGTAGTCAAAGATTAATTACCGAAGGAGTTCGCATCCGCTTCCGAACAGATGGCAGTCTTTTCAACCTGGCCAGACTTAAGGCGCGCACAAAAGTTCTCGTATGCATTAATGAGATTATGTATGCTGATGACTTATGCTTTTTAGCAGAATCTCCACAAGGCCTACAAAAGCTGATGTCTGTCCTCCACCAAGCATGCTGTAAGTTTGGTCTGAAGATTAGTGTCAAAAAGATGGAGGTGATGTCCTTGGACACGCATGGTCGTGAGACACTGACCATTAAGCTTGGTGAGGATGAGCTGAACCAGGTCGATAAATTTCGATATCTGGGTAGCACTATAAAATCTAACTGCGACCTTGACGCCGAAATCAACAGCAGGGTCAGTGCTGCAGCCGCTGCATTTGGTAGGCTGCGATCTAAGGTCTTCTGCTCGCACGACCTTAAGCTGGCTACAAAAATCTCGGTGTACATGGCGATTGTGCTGCCAAGCCTCTTATATTCCTCCGAGACATGGTGTGTGTATCGCCACCACATTCGTACTCTGGATCGGTTCCACCTTAAATGCCTTCGTACCATCATGAAGATCAGATGGTCCAACCGGGTGCGTAATACTGAAGTTTTGCGACGAGCCAATGTCGGTGGCATTGAGGCATATTTAATGCGTCGGCAGCTTCGGTTGTGCGGTCATGTGTCACGTATGGCGGAGGAACGAGTGGCGAAGCGCATCTTTTACTCTGAACTAGAGGAGGGGAAGCGGAAACATGGCGGTCAACTCCTCAGATACAAAGATGTTCAGAAACGACATATGAAGAGATGCAACATAGAGCCATCCAATTGGGGGGTTTTGGCAGCGCAGCGTACGGAGTGGCGCGGAATTGTGCAGAGGCGTATCCGCGAGTTTGAAGATCAGCGTAAAGCTGAACTCGACGCTAAGCGCGATGACCTAAAGGCCCGTACAACCGCCGCCCTTAATTATAACTATGTAGGCGGCGTACTCACGTGCCCTCACTGTGCAAGGGAGTTTGCCACCAAGATTGGCTATATAAGCCATATTCGGGCGCATCAGCGTCAAATCAATTAGGAGTTGAAGAGGTCGCCATGGCCGAAATCGGTCGGAATAATCATCATCATCAAGGGGGACTTGGGACAAGACTAAAAATGTGTCTTAAAATATTAAAATATTATTATTATCATTTTCATTGTAAGACAAAATTATTTATTATTAAATGTTAACAATCAAGTTTTAGGATATGGGTATTGCAAATATACAAAGTTGGTATATTTTAAAATATAAAATTTAGAAAGTGGATCAATCAAAAGCGCATTGTGAAAGACCGATTTTCCATAGCTGTATTAAAATAATATATAAAAATATTTGTGTAAGCCCACGGTATCGCCATCTCCCTCCTTATCTCGGTTCCACATAAAATCAGCTTTCATGAAGTCTTTTTAAACTTCGTGAATCTAACGCGAGTGGTAACCTTCTTGGTGCATTATTATTAAGCATTAAAAATTATTGTTTTCTTTCTATAACAATCATAAAAAAAAACAGTCTAATTGAGGACCTCCCCCTTTTTTGAAGTCGGTTAATAAAGTAGAGTATGGCGCAATCGGTACCGAATTGCCGACGCGCAAAGTCACCTGGGTAGAGCACCCTGTATTGGTTCTCCAGAGCTCTGACGACGCTCTGGTCGGGGGGTTTCGCTGTCGACGCTATCCAAAGTCTGCCCCGATGGTTAGTGTACCACGTGCGACCCTCGTGCCTGCAAATGGAAAAGTGAGCAACGGCCAGAGAAATAGTAAGAGCACCTGTAGTGGACAGACAATATCTGTAATAATAGACCTAACTGTGGTACTGTATAGTGATGCCGAAAAAATATCGAGCGATCGAAAAAACAAGACGACGAAGAAGAAAAAAGCTCAGCCATGTACAGAATTTCTTTTATATATGTTTGCGCTTTCGATTGTACAAAGCGTCATGGGGCTCAGAAAAAATGGGAGTTAACGCTAGGTGTCTGTGTATTTCAAATGGGACCCCCAATAGTTCCGTAATAATTTCGACCCTCCTTCGACCGGGTCGATGAGTATGTTTTACGCAAACGAATTTAAAGAACAGTCTAGTTAGTATTCGGTTGGTTATCTATTTAATTTTAAATAAATTTAGGATAGTAACAATGATTATTGGTTGACCGTGCGTTATGGTATGTATGACTCATGAGATCCCGATCGTCTTCGCGTTCTATATAAAAAACTAATATTGATATTAAAAATGATGTCGATAGCGCAATTTATAGAGAATTGTGCTCTACAACTATAACAAGAAATGCAAATATGATTTAATCCATTGGAAGTGAGTGAGATATTCACTAAAACGCGTTTTTGTGGCTTTAATACTGTATATACATAAGTAAGTATATTTATTATGGTTATGCCTGATATGGAATAAAGATTGGATTATTTTAATAAGAGAATTCAAAAAAAACACTCAGACAGCGACAACGCCCCACCCTCCAATTATTTTAATATTTTATCCAAAAAACTTTCTAATATTATCATAATATAAAATATATTTCAAGTTTGTAGCCGCTGTTACAGAACATCCTCGTATTTTACAATTTGATAACAATTATCTTATAGTTCTGGGTAGGTAGTGAGTAAATATAGTGTTAAAAAAACCACTCAGACAGCGACAACGCCCCACCCTCCCCCGCCGTAGGGCAGGAGAGCGAACGATCATCGAGGGCTGGCGGTGGGACCACCGCCGCCCGCCTCACGCTCAGGGCGCCGCGCCACGTCTCATCATCGCGGCTGGATAGATCTCACATGGTGTGAAGGTCTCGTGAAGAGCTTACTATAGAAATGATCCTATGAAGTAAGGTCTTGCCGGTACACGGCTGCGCGAGCGTTCTCAATGCTCCACGAAAAATCTCAACATCGCGATGTAGCTAACGAGCGTTTCCTTCGCTACGCCATCTAGCGGCGACCTTCGCCAAATTTCAAGATGGCGGTGTAGCAGTAACATTGACAATTAAGACCTCCGATAGAACGAACAAACAATATGCAGTCAATATTTTAATAATTATTTTACAAGTATTAAGCAGATATACTTATATGCCCATAAAAGGACGTTGATAAATGATAACTTACAGTTTGATGCCCTCAACGAGTAACGAAGCCCATGGCTGGTGCATAGATAGACAGCGCCCCGTATCACTCATCTCCTGCAATTCCGTATCTTGGACACGGCTGACTGGCAGGCTTGGTGGGGCTCTAACTGCGGAAGAGTAGCTTTGACTCGCCACCGACTCGTCAAACTGAAAAATTTATACAATTATGAACATGTCAGTATAGTTAATAACTGCTTAAATTAAAAATAAAAGGCAAAACGTAGCATCAAGAGATGAATTGTTATATTAGAATAAATAATTAAAAGAGTAATGATGAATATCACAGGAATAAGTATATGGTATCGACTGATCTAACGAAATTATCAAAGATTTCGGTTGTACAACTTCCGCAAAAGGTCCTGTCCAATTTGGACAATAATAAGGCAACATTGAAAAGGGGTCCTCCGGCACCAGACTTTTTCGATATTTCAGTCAAATTATGCGCCGAATTATGTCAAATGGAATTGTCTTGGACGGATGCTCATTTGACGTATTATTTATTTTACTAAATATTTATAAACATTTCACTTCTTTTACTTTTCAACACCAAAAAATATAATAATAAATATTTTTAGGACAAATTTTTACACGTTCTCTAGTCCCAAACTAAGCAAGTACTATGGGTACAAGAAAACTGATAAACATACGCATTTAGGTACACTACCCATACACCATTCGGGTCATAATACACTTTCTTGGTAACCCCGCCCCGGGTTGCAATGTAAAGTCTAACCTGCCTCTTGAATCACTCTATCTATCGTTCGTTATCACTAACTATCGTCGATCCGTTGCGTAGTTTTAAAGATCTAAGCATATATAGGGACAGACAGACAGCGGGACGAATTTGTTTTATGCTATGTAGTGATTGTAAGAGAAAAAATAATAAATTACAATAATGAAGAATCGTCCATTTATGTGCCTGAAATTTCAGTGGCCAGATGGCAGCTGACCGACCCACTTAGAATTTGGAAATTAATAAAGTATAGTAATGAATAACTCTTACAATTATGGTATTTGCGATCAGAGTGCAGCAACGAGGTCCTATAAGTAAAATAAAACCTTCTCATAAACTTTGGTTATACAAACGGTCTCGATGAAAGCACGTCGGACGTCAATATTTCAAGTGAAATTCATTAATCGAAACCGACATATTTTCCTTGCAATTACATTTTTTACTTATAGGGAAAGGACGTTTAGTGTGCTTGTCCACTATTTAGGGCGTTATTTTAATAAGATTAATTTTATGGGATATCAAGGATTATATCATCAATTTTTATAGGTTTTCTAGAGATCCGGTATTGTATATAATATGTTCTATCTTGGAAAATTGTGAGGAGTAGAAATTAATATTTATAGAAATTTTTTCAGCGCATTTTTATAAAAATGTCCAATATAGAATAAAAACAGGCACTGTGTCCACTTACGTATTACATAACCAGGTTTAAGCTTAAAAAAAGAATTATGTAGTATCTTTATATTATAAGTAAGGATGCACAATATGACTTTCGCCCCGGCCCTGGAACAACGGGAAACCTGCTACATTTGATGACTTAGTAAGTACCAGCGATAGATGCAGGAAAGCAAGTTGATGTGGCCTATTTTGATTTTCAAAAGGCATTCGATACCGTAGACAATGACGTATTGCTAAGGAAATTAGCTGCTACAGGGTGTACATCACACACATCCGTTATCCTGTACTATAGGTAGGATATAATACACTTGAAGTGAGGAGGGAAGTTTTTCTAGCCACGTACCTTTTTAAGGTATTGCGTGACAAAATAAATCATCCGATTGTATTGCAGCAGATGAGGCTATGCGTACCAGATGGAAAATTGAGGAGGAGGCGGCGGCCGATGCTATTATCTGTACCTAGGTCACGGACTAATTTATTACGTAATTCGCCACTGAATTGCGCGTTTTGTACTTTAAATACAGTAGCTAATGAATTAGATTTATTCCATTGCTCATTGAACGAGTTCACATTGACTACGTTCCATGTTCTCAGTGTTTCAATATATCATTATAACACATATATCACTAGATGTCGCTGTACGTAATCCGACTAAGTGTCACTTGTATGCGGCCATCTTAAAATACGATATTTATCACCGCTAGATGGCGTAGCGAAGGAAACGCTAGTCAGCTACATCGCGATGTTGAGATTTTTCGTGGAGCAATGAGGTCGCTCGCGCGGCCGACGACCGGCAAGACCTTACTTCATAGGATCATTTCTATAGTAAGCTCTTCACGAGACCTTCACACCATGTGAGATCTATCCAGCCGCGATGATGAGACGTGGCGCGGCGCCCTGAGCGTGAGGCGGGCGGCGGTGGTCCCACCGCCAGCCCTCGACTTGATCGTTCGCTCTCCTGCCCTACGGCGGGGGAGGGTGGGGCGTTGTCGCTGTCTGAGTGGTATTAAATCGTTTTAGTGCAGAACTTGAGATTCACGTGAACATATTGTCGAAACCTGTAATTCTTAAAAGTCGTACCGACATCTGGGTTTCTTCTTAAGACAATCCGATTTAAAATGCGACAACATAAAAACTATAAAAAGCCTTTATGAAAGCTTTGGAAAGCTGTGATATGGGCTTCCGCACGAAAATTCATTACAAGATTATGGATACACATAAAAACTATAAAAGCCTTTTATGAAGCTTTGGTAAGGAGTCACTTGGAACATAATGCTGTGATATGGGCTCCGCACGAAATTCATTACAAGATTATGCGAACGTTTTAATAGCTTTGCTCGATTTTTGTATTTTAAATTATATGGAGTGTATCCGGGTTATCCTGTACTATAGGTAGGATATAATACACTTGAAGTGAGGAGGGAAGTTTTTCTAGCCACGTACCTTTTTAAGGTATTGCGTGACAAAATAAATCATCCGATTGTATTGCAGCAGATGAGGCTATGCGTACCAGATAGAAAATTGAGGAGTGGAGCGGCGGCAAGTTTACTCAAGTTTGTACATATTATAAGACAATGCACACCAATCCGATTATAATTCGCCAGAAAAGTGGTGAGAGACATCGTACCTAAAGATAGAAAAATTATTCTGGAAAACTCTTTCTGCACACATTTGCGATTTGAAATAGATCATATTAGGCCGTTTTGTACTTTAAATACAGTAGCTAATGAATTAGATTTATTCCATTATCTCATTGAACGAGTTCACATTGACTAGTTCCATGTTCTTCAGTGTTTCAATATATCATTAAACATATTCAATATCACTAGATGTCGCTGTACGTAATATCCGACTAGTAAGTCACTTGTATGCGGCCATCTTAAAATACGATATTTATCACCGCTAGATGGCGTAGCGAAGGAAACGCTAGTCAGCTACATCGCGATGTTGAGATTTTTCGTGAAGCAATGAGGTCGTTCACTTGGCCGGTAGACGACAAGACCTTACTTCATAGGATCATTTCTATAGTAAGCTCTTCACGAGACCTTCACACCATGTGAGATCTATCCAGCCGCGATGATGAGACGTGGCGCGGCGCCCTGAGCGTGAGGCGGGCGGCGGTGGTCCCACCGCCAGCCCTCGATGATCGTTCGCTCTCCTGCCCTACGGCGGGGGAGGGTGGGGCGTTGTCGCTGTCTGAGTGGTTTTTTTTAACTCTATATTTAATCTGGTTATACCGTCATTTGAATCTTTAGTTCCACTTAGGTATATTATATATACTTTAATAGTTAATCATGTCTAACATGTATTCTTACGCGATGAAGTCTGTACCACTGTACTGTGTCTTCTATTTGTATGATTATAAAAGCCTTTTCTGGAACCTTTAATTTTAGTGGTAGTTACAGCATAGCATTGACTGCTACTTCAGGATTACGTAGCGTTTATTATTATTACTTAAATTTCCAAATTATAAATCCTCAAACCATTACGCCAGGAAACGGCCCCAAAGGCAACATCTTCGACGAACACGACATATACTACAATAACCTAAAACAGGAAATCGTTTTAACAAAATGTCATCAAAAATATAAAAACCAAGTAGGAGCGCCAAAACGTTAAAATAATAAAAGCCATTAGTTAAGTAGTTTTGAACTTTACTGTTGATATATATATATATATAACATATTCAAGTTTGTTTTCTATTGATTTCTCTTTTAATATTGTGATTAGATAAGTTCAAATCAAAAATGTCACGCAGCAATTTTGCAATTCGGCGAAGGTTGCCGCTAGATGGCGCTGTTACGAGAACGCTAGTCTGCTACAACGCGATGTTGAGATTTTTCGTGGAGCATTGAGAACGCTCGCGCAGCCGTGTACCGGCAAGACCTTACTTCATAGGATCATTTCTATAGTAAGCTCTTCACGAGACCTTCACACCATGTGAGATCTATCCAGCCGCGATGATGAGACGTGGCGCGGCGCCCTGAGCGTGAGGCGGGCGGCGGTGGTCCCACCGCCAGCCCTCGATGATCGTTCGCTCTCCTGCCCTACGGCGGGGGAGGGTGGGGCGTTGTCGCTGTCTGAGTGGTTTTTTATAGCCCTATATTAAATCCGGTACTACTATCATTTAGACCAATTTATTTATGCTCTTTTCAAAAGCTGTCAATTTCAAGATTTATACAGCATCGTTACAACCGCGACAATAAATGAACACACGTCTAACGCTATTTACCAATAATCATAAAAAAAAATGTACAACGTTTAAAAAATCCAAAATTGAAAAAAATATTTTTCAAACAAACTAAATAAATAAGAAACAAAAGTTGTATCATCCTATACAACGACAACTGACTGATTGATACATTTAAACTTTTTCATTCGTTAGCGTCGCATTACAAATCTCTCCTAACAGTATTTTATATCTCTTTTAAATTCATTCAACACATTCATATGCTTTGTTACCTTTACAAATGAACTTTACGTTACAGTTTTATACGTAATAAGTCTGTAAATATTGATATTTAAAGAATTTAAATGTTTAATACTATTTTAAGAAGTCCTCCTCTATATGTGTGTTCATTTATTGTCGCGGTTGTAACCACACGCTGTATATATACGTTTTTGACAAATGAAGTTACAGTGATAAGTTGTGATTATGTACACGATTTTTTAAAATAGTTATTAACTGAGCGCGTCTTACTTCTAGAGGTTGGTCATTCCAGAGTTGCGCACCCTGCACCATAAATGACCTACTCATGAACTTGCTTTTGTGCGAAGGAATTTTTAGCTCCAAATTTTCTGATGATCTTAGAAACTTAGATTAGGAATCGCGAAGAAATTGGAAAAGTTCCTTTAGATAAGTAGGATGTGAAAGGTTTGAACAGTATGTTGTAAACAAGAGATAGCATTTGAGCATTCCGGTGAAGACGAGGTAGCCAGTTTAATATTTCAACATTACCAAAGAAATAAAACAACTTATTACAAGGTAATAAAAAAAGTATTTAGCCAATCTTTCTAGGGTTATTATTATTAATGTTAGGGCACACGTTACACGGTGCGGTGCGGCATTGTGATTGTGCCCACGAAATACATAGTGGAGGACAATCGCTCGTCTAAACCTCTGTCAATCAATGGAACGATTAGAATGGAAGAATAAAACGACGAGATAAAGAGAATGTGACTAACAAAAAGAGCTCGCGAAGGCGGGCGGTTTGAAAGTTTGAATAAAAATAGATAAATAATAGGTGAGAATGATAATAAGATATAATATAATATAACATAATATAATATAACACGCACGATAATATGCCGCGAAACATATAAGAATATTCGAATTTGTAAAGGGAAATTAAATAGTAATACAAAAAAACATTATTAAAATTTTATTAAAAATAATACAATTCGTTAATAATCTACGTATTTTCGAAGTTTTGAACTATTTTTTTTTATAATCTGCGAATGTTAATAGCGTAAAGTATTTCATCACTGTATAAAAGTGTTACCGAATCCAAACTTCCCAGGGCCGGGAACTGGCATGGCGACATAAAAAAGAAGAGAGATGATACTCTATGGTAGCGGGGTGACGTGAGGGCGACAGTTCGGTATGGGGGGGCTATTTTATAGCTGGAGTTTAAAATCTAATTAACGATAGATTTTGTAATAATTTTGTTAAGAAGTTCTAGGTATTTGATTTTTATAAAACATATTTCGAGTAGATTTATGTGTTTCCTTTTAAAAATAAAAACTAACTATCTTTTGTTTTATAACAAAAGATATTGCTTAAAATTATTGGAAATTATAAGAAAAAAAAATATTCAAGTTCGTATTCTTTGATGTGCCGAATGATCGTATACGCCATAAATTTTTATTTCTGTATTCGGCCCAATATTCGGTCATTTTGTCGATAATTTCTGATTTCTTTTAAATAGAATTAATTATTTTAAGATTTATGTATGTAAAAACGAAACCAACACGTACACTACCTTGAGTAGCCATCTAGTCCATTTACAAAAAGATAATAATTAATATGAGTCAGGCATTATTTTTTAAGCAAACGACAATGTACGCTAAATAAAATTTATCATTCAATAGAATCGACAATTTTAAATAACGTAATAATCTCTTATACATATCTGAATGAATAAAAATAAAAATGATACAAAATATATTTGGCTAAATAAAAATAACACCAGTATTCCATATAATCAGTTTATGAAAGAAGCATTTTAAGTATAACATAAAACATAGCAATCACTTAAAGTATCTAAAGGAAGACAGATAAATTTAGTTTTCATATTACCTCTCGATATTTAAATGCTTTAAAAATATCGATACCTGCTCATATCGACATTTTAATTATATTTTTGAACCTCTAAATGATAGATTAAAAATAATTCAATTATAAACAGATGAACCGAAACAGAAACTGAATTATTTGGAACAATTTACACTGGGTCGCGCAATTACGGTTCTAAGTAGAAAACTACAAATCTAAGTAGAAAATTAAAATTCAGGCCAAGGAATTTGACTGACTAAACGATCACACCCCTGGCTCCAGAGAAATAAGAACAACCAAGTATAGATGTGGAACTGGAGACAAACAATGTTCCAAATCATCACTCACGAATGGAATATAATATTTGTGCCACATCAGAACCAAGCCCGATGCTTCTTTGTTTTTGATCGACGGTAAAAAAAATCTCTTTGATACAAATATTTTCTTTTCGACACTAAATATGCACCGAAGGAACGATTCAATGTTGAAAGTACCGAAACAAGAATCGTGTAACTACTTTTATTTACTTATATCGGATCAGCCTTATTGTATACTATGTATATAATATAGTGCCTTGTCTTGTATGAACTTGCTGTACCTATTTCTCTATTTTTGCCTGATTTAACATTTACTCTTGTGAAATCAATGTCATGGACATTGATTTGACATGTCAATGCCACACAGCAAATTTGATTAAGATTGCAGCTAGATGGCGCTGTTACGAGAACACTCGTCGTCTACATCGCGATGTTGAGATTTTTCGTGGAGCAATGAGGTCGCTCGCGCGGCCGACGACCGACAAGACCTTACTTCATAGGATCATTTCTATAGTAAGCTCTTCACGAGACCTTCACACCATGTGAGATCTATCCAGCCGCGATGATGAGACGTGGCGCGGCGCCCTGAGCGTGAGGCGGGCGGCGGTGGTCCCACCGCCAGCCCTCGATGATCGTTCGCTCTCCTGCCCTACGGCGGGGGAGGGTGGGGCGTTGTCGCTGTCTGAGTGGTTTTTTTAACTCTATATTTACTCACTACCTACCCAGAACTATAAGATAATTGTTATTAAATTGTTAATTAAATACGAGGATGTTCTGTAACAGCGGCTACAAACTTGAAATATATTTTATATTATGATAACATTAGAAAGTTTTTTGGATAAAATATTAAAATAATTGGAGGGTGGGGCGTTGTCGCTGTCTGAGTGGTTTTTTTTAACACTATATTTACTCACTACCTACCCAGAACTATAAGATAATTGTTATTAAATTGTAAAATACGAGGATGTTCTGTAACAGCGGCTACAAACTTGGAATATATTTTAGATTATGATAATATTAGAAAGTTTTTTGGATAAAATAATTATTACCAATTAAAAAAATATTAGTCGCCAACACCAAATCAATTAGGAATATGCAACTGACGAGGTCGCCTTGGTCGGAATCGTCATGTTTTGATTTTCGCAGAATATTACTGTATTAGTTTAGTTCTTATTCAAGCTGTTTAACTTAATCGTTTTCATTTCTACTTTTGAGTACATTTTAATAAATTTCAGATCAATCTTTATTAAGATTTTTAAATTTGACGTTTTTTTTACCAGTTTACAAAATACGTTCCTTTCAGACCGACTCCGGTGGCTTGAGAACTTCCTCTACAATGCCTTCCTCTTGACCTACCTTGCCTCTGTATAACATCATACGCACTTCTTTTGCACGCGCTCGCAAAGTTCACTTGAACAACCTTCAGGGTGTACAAAATAAAGTAAAAATAAAAAAAACCACTCCCGACTATACGAAATTTTTAAAATGTAACAAAACGGTTCTTCAAAATGGCCAAGATTCCCAGGTGCCGATTAGTAGTCGACGGCTATCCGGATCTCAGTCCGTACCGAACCTCAATGGTCCGTAGGTGACGTTTCTCCCTCAAACGAAACACCCATGAACCCATGCGCTATATATATCATTCATCAAGCCCGCGGAACACAAAGACCTTGGCTGTCTCCCAAGGTCTTTGTGTTCAGCGCAAAATCTTTATAATAGTAATTTGGCAGCTAAGTATTTTTTTTTAAATCAATTTACTTGGTAAGTTTATTCGTATTCGGATAATGTCATATGAATATCTATATAAGATTTTTTTTCTATGTAAAACGCGTTGTCATTCAAATTTCATGTAAATTTCATCTTATCAGAATCGTTCGCCTAAAATTCATATAAATACAAGATTCTATCTAAATAAGTATTAGTTGTTTCTGAGATACACGATATTTATACGTACACAAGAACTGTTCGTTTGAAGTTATGAGATTACTTACTTGAAGGAACGGCGCGTCTATACCGCCGAAGTCTTGTCCCGCTTTAGCAACCGTTGCTGCGTGGTCACCGTTCGCCATCTTGCGCACTTTCTCCTCGTCCACGTCGTAGTCAATCGTGTTGTCTTCTACCACTTGCCGACCTGGAAAGCGTTGAGGAAATTCTAGAGTAATGTCTTACAGCAATAAGATTAAGAATTTCTATTTTTACAAAATTCTTTACGATATCGATTTGTAACAACATAATATAATAGGAGTTAAGTATTTGTTGATAGTTAATTGGAATTTAGCATTTATCACGTGCTCGGCGGTGAAGAAAAACATCGTGAGGAAACGTGCATATTTTCGAAATAACAAAAAAAAATGTTTCGAAGATATGTGAAGTCCGCCAATCCGCAGGGTGGATTGGCGTCCGCGTGGTAGATTATGCCCTAATACCCTCTGTACAGAGGGGGCCTTTGCCCAGCAGTGATATATATATATATATATAGACTATCAATTTTACTTCAGTTTAGGCACTGCTTGGCGCCATCTAGTATGCATACATCACAATATGAAAACCTTACAAAAAGCATTCACGATGAAAATTTGTAACAATGACATCCGCACTAGAACAAAGGTGATCGACAACCCAGAGTCTTAGTAAGCTGAAGTGGCAATGGGCCGGCCAAATTTCTATAATGGCAGCCTCGTATTGGCCATCGCAGTGTAGAAGCCCCCGCTAGATGGACTTAACGCCTGTGAAAATGTACGAGAAGCCGATGGATGCAGCGGGATCGTGCTTCGTGGCTGTTTGTGGGGTGGCCTATGTTCAGCAGTGGACTCAAACAGGCTGCATTGACGATGATGATGATTCATTTGTAAAGAAATTTGTCAAATTTTTAGGATAATTTTTTTTTTCTTTACCGCAGTAAATTAGCATGCGGCCTAGCAAGTCGCAGTGTGCTAAACGCTGCGAAGAGCGAACCCGCCTCTTCTAAGTAACGCGCCAGACGCTTTAACAAAAAATCTAAGTGGCCAATGACTTGACGGCGCCGTAAATTTTTGTTCGTTAATCTAAAAAAAATCACATTTCAAGTTTCATCTAGAGTACAGAGTCTAAGTCTAAACTTGCTTACGAACGTATTTTATGTAGAATTTTGACTTTCATTAGAACGCGCAAGCGTCTATGTGTATATATTACGCACATTTATTAAATTCAAATTCAAAATATCTTATTTTGAATTTGAATTTAATAAATGTGCGTCTATGTACAATTCAAAATAGAAGCATTACACTTACTTATTAATTGTAAATAAATATTTATTAGTCTGACAGGAAATAAAAATAAAACATGTTTACGTTATATTAAATTTTGTCTGAAAGAGCCTGGAGCGATCATTTAAATTATCAATTATAATTACAATCATTCATAGAGTAGTGATCCAGCCTCAGGCAAAGTCGACTTATGGTGCAGGGTCTACTAAGTGCGAAAGAATAGTTAGGTTATTCACCAGCAAAGTCGAAGGTGAGCTTATCGTGCAGGGTCGGTTAATAGCGAAAAAACATAGTAAGGGTGTTTACCGGCAAAATCAAAAATGAGCTTGCTGGTGAGCCTTGAGGCGTGCTTCTTATCGTGAAAGGTCTACTGAATGCGAAAGAGCCGAAGTCGAAGATGAGCTTATCGTAGTAGTGCAGGGTCTAGTAAGTGCGAAAGAATAGTAAGGGTATTCACCGGCAAAGTCGAAGGTGAGTTTGGTGGTGAGCCTTGAGGCGTGCTTCTTATCGTGAAAGGTCTACTGAATGCGAAAGAGCCGAAGTCGAAGATGAGCTTATCGTAGTAGTGCAGGGTCTAGTAAGTGCGAAAGAATAGTAAGGGTATTCACCGGCAAAGTCGAAGGTGAGTTTGGTGGTGAGCCTGGAGGCGTGCTTCTTCTCGTGCAGGGTCTTCTGGTACTCCTCGAGGCGGCGCTTCTCTGCGGGGTTGAGCCAAACGCTTCCCGCGCTGAAGTAATCGCTGTCGTCGTCCGTCACGCGCGTTCGCCTCTCGCTGGAATGGCGCGCTTTCAATCAATCTTGATGTCTTATGTACTCTATTTTTGAATACTAGCTAAACCCGATAAACGTTGTATTGTCCTATAAATTAGTTATAGGAACTTTGTAGAGTAGAAAAAAAAATTTTTTCCCTAACCTGCAACCACGTAAAACGTTCCCCTTACTTTAGGATAACATAATCCTGTTTTATAAGGACGTTGTACAAAGGACTTTGTTCACGCGGACAAACACCCAGATGCGAAACAACTATTTGCGGGTCATACAAATAGTTGTCCCGTGTGGGAATCGAACCCACGACCCCCGAAGCTGAAGTCAATACTTTGGCACCTGCGCCACGGAGTCATCAAACTATACTATCTAATAACTATATTTATCGTTTAGGGGTATGGAAAATAGATTACGACCTACCAAATATACAGATAAAATTACATAAAAATCGATCAAGCCGTTTCGGAGAAGTATGGCAACTAACATTGGGGAACAAGAATTTTATATACATACTGGCTGCTGACCGCGACTACGTCTGCGTTGAATAGGCTGAATGTGTAACATTCAGACAGAAAGACAGATAAACATAACAATACGTTTATAAATTATAGCCTATATTTTATTCTGATATATAAGCTATATTATTGTAAAGTTTCGTTAAAATCCATTCAGTAGTATTTGCCTGAAAGATACATACATTAAAACTTACGCATATATAATATTAAGTAAGTATATAGATTTAGCACTGCTTGGCCCATCTTAAGTTTAGTGTGGTAGAGTCTCGCATCGACTTTTGCGGTTGTACTAATTTGCAGGCTCGTAAAGGGAAATAACAGCGGATTCACAGAAGACCATCATGGAGAGGAAGTATACTTACACGTTTAGTCTGGTTAGTAGATAACCGACGCGAGTGTTTTGTGCCGTTTTTTACTACAAATGCAAGTCTCCAAGCTGATGTTTCTATGCTGATATATAAAAACAGCCATCAAAAACAAATAATTACTATCGAAAGTATACAACATGTCATTAATTACTTAAGAAGTAGAATAACTCCCGCTTATCTCTTTGGTGTTATCATGTGTTATCATGATCCATTCTCACCTTGTGCAATCATACTCAAGCAATCTATTTCTATGGGACATCGCTGCCTCCCAACCTTTAGGTCTATTCCTCTCCATTAAAGATTCCATGAGTTTAGCGCTTGCCTTCGTTTTAGCGTTGATTTCCTTCTGCTCTTGTGGTGTACAAACCTGTAATATTACAACATTGCTTTGTGAATAATAAAAAAACTCTAAGTGATCTATGTTTATACAGGGTATCTTTTTAAGGTGTATCCATTTGTTTTTATTAAATTCTAGACATAAATAATGTTATGTAAAAAATGATAAATATTTAAAATCACTCGTTTGAAATTATCTCCAAAAGTGCGTGATTTATGGGCAACTTATTTATTTTACGTGCGATCATTCATAACTAACACTCACACAAGTTCGTTTCAAAAGTATACGACGCATTTATGAATGACTACCGCATTGTCAAATAGTTCTGTTTTCTAAGGAATGGAATGGCAATTTGGCAAATGGCAGCAGTTATCACTTAAAATCAGGTGTATATGAGAAGGTGACAAGCAAGCTGGTTGCTTGTCACTTAAACTTCTCATATAAAAAAAATAATATCTATATTGTAAAAAGCTCACTTAGTTTTACATGTAACTAGTGATAAAGCAGTGATTATTTGAAATATTAAAATGATATATAATACACTAGATAATAATTACACTCACATTTTCAGGTAATAAATTACTCAAAACAACACTACATGACTTTTTATAGCTTAAAAACATATAACTTAAAACTGGTATGTACTAAAATAGGGCTGCACATTGCATAATAAAATGTAACAGATAAATATAGTTGTGATAGTTTGTTGTCAATGAGTTCAATCCCCAGTGCAGGCACAAATGGAATTGTTTATTTTAAATTCTGACTTATCCCATGCTCGGCGGTAAGGAAAACAACATGAGGAAACATATATATTTTCGAATTAATAACAAAATAAAATATTTCTAAGATATGTGAAATCCGGCCATCTGCAGTGGGGTCATGTGGTGGACTATGCCCTAATATCTTTTGGACAAAGGAGGCCTTTGCCCAGCAGTGGGACTTATATAGGCTGTTACTTTACTATTAATTTTTTTGTAACAGAACTTTTGGCAGCTAATAATAATATAATAAAAGTAGGTAGACATAGAAAGTAAGGCATAGTGAAAGTATGTCAGATTATTGATTATGTTAATAAGATTTGGTGGTTTATCAAGTCTTAGGTGGCTAATAATGAAGAAGGTAACTCACAAGATTGCCACAGAATAAACAGGGCCCAGACCCCTCCTGTTTGCAGACTACTCGCCCACACTGCAGACAATTGTTAATCAGCTCATGCTTGGAAGCTTGGCAATCACAACGATGCCTACCTGTAAAGTTACAAGGAGATTCTGTAACTACTATTCAAATATTTGTATAAACAAAGAATAATATAAATTACATTGACTCATTCATTCACTTTGTAACATCTTTATGTGCATTTGTATTATTATGATAGTACAGTTGAACCCCCAATTATCCAAATGATAACTTGGTGTATCTGAATTATCGCTCAATTATTCGAATGTGGACGAGAAAGATACATTGTTGCTCACTGCAGTTGCAATACATTTCTCACACCAAGCAGATAGAAATGTGAATAGCTTATATTTCCTCTTCCATTATAATTTTGCTGTTTAATTAAATTGTGACCATAACTTCAAAACCGAGACCTTCAAGTCTCACTTGGAAACAATGTCCTTACAGTGGAAAAAAATTGGAAATCTTGTCAAAGTTAAAGGAAGATAAAGGCGAAAATAACGCATCTCTAATGCTTCTGTACGATGTCAGAAAATCAACAATCACGAATATAAAAAAAAAATATTTGATTCCCTGCACATATGATGTCAATAAAGAACAATATTAAAGAATTTTCTTTTCTAATGAGGACGGGTGTGGTCAACTTTGTTCTAATATCCTCTTCTCAAAGTTAGCCTTTGACCAGCAGTGGGACATTCTATGGTGGTAGGGCCACGAGATAAAAAGATGCAACTTAATATATCTTGTGAACTAGTATTAAAAAAAGCATTAAATAAAACCTTTAAGCAAAACCACTTGTGCATTTTTGCCTTCCTGGGAATACAAATTGACATATTTAGTCTTCTTTTTAGACTTGCTATCGGCTTCCAATATATGGGGTGGCTGCACCTCAGTAGAAACAAACTCTGTTGGCTGTTTGTTTTTTGAAATTTTTTTCTTCTGCTGTTTTGTGGGCAAACTCCCTGAAACATGTTTTATATATAAATTAATGAATAAAACATATTGCATGTTTCAAAGTCAGTCAAAATTTCTTTATACAATATAGGCTTATTTTAACCCTATCCATAGAAGAACCAAAAACAAACTATGTGGTCCTTTTTTTTAATTATACAAAATTAGCTTGGAATAAAATGCATGAAGCATTCAAAAAAATAAACAATGTTTACTTTAAAATTACTATAAACCAGCAACATGCCCCGGCATCGCATGGGTGCAATGTATTATACATATAAACCTTCCTATTGCATCACTCTATCTAGTAAAAAAACCCGCATCCAGATCTGCTGCGTAGTTTTAAAGATCTAAGCATACATATGGACAGACAGACAGCAGGAAGACATTGTTTTATACTATGTAGTAAAGTCTCACCTTTATTAGGGAATTTTCTTTTACATATTTCTAGGAAAAATGATTTATGTTGAGAATTATCGAAATCCAAAAGAGTCTTCATGTATTCATTCAGGTCGTCTTCATTTTCTATAGAATTTATATACCTAAAATTATTGAAATAGTAAACTTATTGGAATTATATTTTCAAACAGAATTACAAAATTATTTACTTTATAAGATCTTCCGGAACATGAAAGTCCAAGATTCGTGATAAGCCTTCCCTAATCCATTCATCCATTTTATGTTTAATTAAAATTAACAAACTCAGCTAGTCAGCTACAGTAATATTGAAAAATCATAAAACGTTTATACTCAAACTCAAAGAGCTTAACAGTTAGCATAGATAAGACATATATATACTGAAACAGTTAGTTAACAGCTACCACGTAAATGACAAATGACAATTTATTTTGACTTTTGAATAGGGATGTAAAAATCGATTAAAAAAATTTGAGCATTCCATAATTCAAAAAAATATTAATATTTTATTTTGACAAGAAATAACCAGAATTTCTAATAGGGCAGTGTTCATAATGTTTGAAATAAATTAAAAATAATCTTTGAACAAAAAATAAATTGAGGTGACAGATCACGTGAGTCACAGGTACGTACCAGATTCATATTTAGAATCAAATTCTGTATATGCTCTGCTATTATGTCCGTCGTCTATAAAATTATCCTCTATATGTAAAGCAGTTTCGTAACTTTTTAACAAATTTGAGTCAAATAAAATGTTAAATGGAATTGAATATTCGTGGCAAATTTCTTTTAGTTCTTTTTTATTGTTCAAAGTTAAAAATTTAAGAAACATATACTTTGTATTTTTGTTATAAAACCAGAATGTTGTCGATAAGGTTATTTTTTATACTACTCATTTTGAACATTAAAATATGTAGAAAAAGTGCGAAAAGATTGTCGCCGCTGTGGGAATCGAACCCACGTCTTCGGCATTCGCGGCCTGACGCTTTAGCCACTGAGCTAAACGGCTGATTACCACACCGACGAAAATCTTAACGCATTCTTCCACATTGTTTTCTTAGCATTTGAAGCAATGCTTGGCGCCATACTTGGCGGCTTTTTCTACATATTTTAATGTTCAATCTTAAGTGCAAAGATTAGCACTATAAACAATTTAAATTTCTAAAAAAGCAATGGCGACATCTCTCGTTCGAATTATCGTTGTAAAACGATATTCGAAGTTGTTTGTATGCTGGAAAGGATATAACAATAGATGGCGCCAAGCATTGCTTCAAATGCTAAGAAAACAATGTGGAAGAATGCGTTAAGATTTTCGTCGGTGTGGTAATCAGCCGTTTAGCTCAGTGGCTAAAGCGTCAGGCCGCGAATGCCGAAGACGTGGGTTCGATTCCCACAGCGGCGACAATCTTTTCGCACTTTTTCTACATATTTTAATGTTCAATCTTAAGTGCAAAGATAGCACTATAAGCAATGGCGACATCTCTCGTTCGAATTATCGTTGTAAAACGATATTCGAAGTTGTTTGTATGCTGGAAAGGATACAACAATAGATGGCGCCAAGCATTGCTTCAAATGCTAAGAAAACAATGTGGAAGAATGCGTTAAGATTTTCGTCGGTGTGGTAATCAGCCGTTTAGCTCAGTGGCTAAAGCGTCAGGCCGCGAATGCCGAAGACGTGGGTTCGATTCCCACAGCGGCGACAATCTTTTCGCACTTTTTCTACATATTTTAATGTTCAATCTTAAGTGCAAAGATTAGCACTATAAACAATTTAAATTACTCATTTTGATTTTGATTCTGGTAAACTGTGAACACTATACTAATCTCTTTTAAGATTTATTGCTATACAGGATTTTTAGAATAATATATAGATATAAGAAATAATAATGGATTTTTCAAAAATCGATTATTATTTCTTCTGATAATGTTTTTTACAAAATCGATTAATATTTAATATTTAATAATCGATTTTTTTCTCTCAATGTCACATCCGTACTTTTGAACTTTGAACTTTTGAGAATGATAGTAAAATTAAATTTAGAAATAGAAACCAGACTATATACGTCGCTCGTCGGACATCCGTCAAATGTCAATGTCAGACAACTGCTAAAAACTATGCTATAACTATGATAAACGTAGTGATTACATTCTCTTTGGCTATGATTATAGAAACTAGGCAGAGAAAGTCTACCAAGCCATCATTTTTTCAATTTTAATAAAGCAAATAAAATGCAACTTAATATTGTGTGTCAGTTAAGAATCGGTCATTATTCCACCTCACTAAATTATAGATCAGGGATAATTCTCTTTGCGAATGTGGATTAGATCGGGTCCACAGATCACATATTGTCTAATTTCCTAATTCCTCCAGGTAAGACACACTGGAACATTCAGCACGCCTTCCATCTCGGCCTCTTTTTCATAGCTAACAAACTCCCACGAGTTCACTGACCAGAGGCCATGGAAGCCAGGAGAGCCAGTGCTAAAAACCAAGAACCCTCCCAGCCCATAGCACCGGACCTTGTCTGTGGCTCCATCACTCACAACGTTTCAGCCGCGGAGGGTAGAGAGAACGGTGTATCGCAGGAGTGAGCAACCTTTTTAATCAATGGGCCAATTTAAATTTCAAATTTTTTGGCGGGCCGCAATTACGCTAATTAATTTACGAAACTTAATTTATAATAAATATTAGACTAAAAAATATAAAATTAAAAAAAGTAAAGATTTCATATACAAATTTTAATGCACGGTAAAAACAAACGAACTTTCACGCTAAAAAGAAAAGAAGAGAAAAACGAACAAAAAATATTTCGGTTCAGTATTTACTACCATTTTATTATAATTAATTTTATAACAATAAATTTATCGGAGAAATTCGATAAAATAAATTTAATTTTAGAAATTCATTGCGGGCTGCATAAACATGTTTAAGGGGTCGCAAGAGGCCCGCGGGCCGTGCGTTGCTCATCCTTGGTAATACCGACACTCCTCATCTACCCGGGGCCTTAACACCACTGCATCATCGGTTCAGCCCCACTGAGTTGCAGAGGATACAGAGAGCAGCCAAACGCAAAACCAATACTCCTCTTCTTCTGCAATTCTACCTCGGTGGCAAAGAACAGAGAGAGTGGCTACACCTCTACTACCCTAAACTTATCCCCCGCACCCTCCTCACTCGGGCTGGCCTTACACCACATGCCAGCCAAGTGGGGTGAGTCCCTCTTGATTTCGGCGTGGGTGACCAAGCCACGACTTCTGAGCTCTTCCGTCACTAAAAGGCGGGAACCCGGTCAGAGAGTATGAAGTCCTTGTCTAACTAAGAAAGAAGTCGTACCTAACGGCCTAGTTCTAACTTGATCTGGTGACAAACAGAGTTTAATTCAAGAAGTACCGAATATATCGGTAAAGAGGCATTATTTTAACTAAAATGCGGGATTTTGAGGTTCGGAGGAACCTACAAACCTGTGGACCTGTGACATTAAAGTCTTGAATTTTAGTTATCGGTGTTAGCACCGAGTTAACATGTTTTAATTTGGACATAAGCAAAACTAGAAAAAAAAAAAAAAAAAAAAGTTACTACGATGCGCTGATGGCCCACCATATCGATTTTATAGAGGGACATTTCTTTATTTTCTATTGGGGGCAGGTTGATTATAAAATAATGAAGAGATGCATTGTATCAAATGATAGTTCTGCTGACTGGGACAAAAAATCTTAAATTAAGTTTATGATAGTAGATTAGGGTTTTTGATATGGCACAGTTATTTTTTTAATACTAATGTTATAGAATGAGAGTTAGTTAGTTTTTTTTTAAAGGAAACACAATTAATTCACTCGAAATAATTATGTTTTACGATCGAGCCATGATAGCTCAGTGTACGGGCGTTCGCCTTTAATTCAATATAGGTACTCGAGCAACCGAGTTCAATCCCCGGTGCCGGCACCAATGAAGTTTTTAACTTTAAGTGCTGACCTATCACGTGCTCCGCGGTGAAGGAAAACATCGTGAGGAAACCTGCATATTTTCGAAATAATAACAAAAAAAATTTTTTTTTCGAATATATGTGAAGTCCGCCAATTCATAATACCCTCTGTATAGAGGAGGCCTTTGCCCAGCAGTGGGACATGTATAAGCTTTACGTTACTATGTTTAACGAAAATCATTTACATCTTCTTAACAAAATTATTGAACAATTTATCGTTAAATAGATTTTGAACTACATGACATAATCAAGGCAAGAACTCCCGCGTCCGAACGCTACGCACAGAGTACTACTTTTTTTTATATTGCCGTGCTAGTTCTCGGTCTTGGGAAGCTTCAAACTTCAAAGCCAAAGAGTACTTTTATATATCTGAAATATTTTTATCAAGTTTTTTTTATATATCTGTTCAAAGTTTTAAGCCTGGATTCGGTAATACTAATGTCATTGCCAAGCTATGTCACAGTTGACAATAGATTGACAAATTTTGTTTTAAAAACTATTTAAGAATTAACATTGTTCAATTGTTTCCAGCACTATAATACAGCAGGTACCTTTCTTAGTAATACGTATCAAGATAAAATTAACGTTAAGATGTAATTACGACAGGATAATATGATTAAAATTATATTTAGGCATTCATTTGTTTACGTAATTTATAACCTTTTCCTTTTTATAGATTAATTGATTTATCAATTTAAGCTGTTTCCATTCTGTATGGTATCTGCGATATTTTTCATTCTATTACAATTATTCTTTTAAATGAAGTTTAAAACACGGCAAATTAACATTAACTTATTTTATTTTGATTGAAAGGTTAACAATGTCTATCTCACCATTTTTACGGAGCCCTTTTACTGATTTAATGGGTGGCTTGGTAACCCAACAAATGTTAGGCGAATGCCAACAACAAGAAGCTCGTTTTATGGACTGCTTGGAAGCGTATGGCCTGGACAGAGGACGAAAAAAATGCACAGATCTGTTTGAGGATTATCATGAGTGTCAAACTAAGACCAAGCAATTCAAGAGATTTATGGTAAGTATTTTTTTATTAAACACAGCATATAAAACAATTACAGGATTTAAAAGTTTGTATCTTAATTCAAATAAAATCTAAATACTTAAAAACTAAGTTTAATTATAACAAATTCTTATTTTTACTAGGCTATGCGCAAGGAGAGAGACAGACAGATTGCTGAGGGAAAACTGAAGGGAGATGAAAAATATGTTAGCCCAAAAGTGGACAGTTATTAGTTATATGTAAATCAATAGTAATGATCATGGAAATATAGTTTGTTGTCAGCACAAGTTTGTTTTTTAATCAATGTTATGTTTCTCCTATAATAACTTTTTCAATGTTTTGTTATTTTTCATGCTTTTCTCAGTATCATTCATATTTTGGAGTTATATAAGATTAAACCACTAATTATTTAGTAATTATTTGCAAACAACCAACCAAAAATGTATATTTACAACATATTTAAGTCAATAATTTTTTTTTAACATTGATATAATATACGAGCGAAAATTGGCAGAAATGTTAAAATTTTGAGAAAAAAAATTAAATTTAAAACTTAACACTGAGGAAATCCACAATGTATAAAGTTTACACCAACCCAATCAATTTGAAGTAAACTGTAACATAATGTAAAAAACTATAATTAATTTAAAATTATTTAAACAGATACAATTTTCATAATCGATTTTTAAAATTAACAGCATAGTTGACGTATTTTAATATTTTTATTGCATAATCACCACTAACATACTTTGTGTCTAAGTTTTGAAATCATTGAGCCATTTCAATGATTTCAAAATTTATGATTTAAGGAAATAAGATTTGTTATTTTTTTCTTAAGATTTTGTGACTTTCGCCAATTTTTGCTTATGTTTACGGATTTATAGCGTTTATTTTGGTTTCCGTTTCGATAAATCCGTAAACACAGTTTCATTTAGTAATGTGTAAATTCAAGAAATTCTTAAGGTCATCTAACTTTTTTATTAATTAACATTATCAAACTATCAATTATGGTAGCAACATCTACTATAATCGATACTTTCATATGTTTCTGTACTGGCCATCAGATTTGTAATGAGGTCAAATATAAGTTTTCTATCTATTGTCAAAATATTGCTAAAATCGAAGACATTTAATATTTTGGCATAATAATTGCGCAACGTTGTTAAAACATGGCATCATCAATTTCTCCTTTTATTCGATCGCCATGGACGGATTTGACGGGAGGTTTAATTTCGCATCAAATGCTGGGGAATTGCGCAAAGCAGGAGATGGATCTAATGGATTGTTTAGAAGCTTATGGTCTCGACCGTGGTATTAGGAAATGTCAGGATTTTCTCGAAGACTTCCGAGAATGCCAAACGAAAACAAAGCAATTCTGTAGGTTTATGGTAAGCATATAAGACGATGTTATGTGATGTTAAGTAACATAACACAAAGCAATTATATACAAATACGAGGTAGATATGACACTAGCGCACTGAAACTGAGGCACTCAAATTACGCCAATTAGTAATTAGATTGCAACCCTATAGAGTATAGACTATATATCTCGAATAGATATATTTTTCCGTATCATACGTTCTAAATTATTGTCACATTCTTCTATTTTTCACATTACCATTTTTTAGTCATTTAATGTAAAGCGGAACAATTTTTAAACCAACGAATATAAACCTCTCAGATCCAATTTGGGTTGCATAGTAATTTATGAAGAAAATATAAGAATTCTTATACATTTAAAATACATAACCAAGGGTAATTATAATAATAATAAAGCATCTAATGCAATCGAATCTCTATGCATACTATTAATTCTATTCCAAATCTTGTCTATTAAAATCTGATCAAAGTTTAAGCCGCGCCTATTAAATTTATATACTATATTTACTGCTAATGAAAATTTCCGAATCAATTGAAATCCTCTTATGTATTGTTACTGTTGCCACACTAAGCTAGCATTTCCTCCAGGAGCATATGGAACTGCCGACTACATTTCAGACTTTTCCTTTTGTGCCGGTGGCTCACTAGGGCTTGGAACCCCTCTTTCCGCGGCATTTTGCTTATCCTGTCGCCCTATTGCAGCTCTGTGGGTTTTACATTAAGTAACTCATTAGATGAATCGCAAAAACATTTACTTCACGCCAAACATTTTGAGGCCGAGGCATTACCTAGTCCAGTCGGTAACAGAAGCTGCCGCGTGGCTCTATAAATGTTTTTATTTTTACGGATTTATTGCTTTTTTTTTAATTTGTTTCCGATGTTTCGAACCCTTACAGCGTTTGGTCACAAACCCTGGCAATGTTATTGTAACCCTGGATTATCGTCAGTTTTTAAATTGTTAATTTTGAGTCCGGTCTACGATAAATGCGTCGAAAATAGTTTATTTTAGTAATGTTTAATTACAAGAAATAATCTGTGAAATAATCTCTAATAATTCTAAAAGTTACTTCTTTAATTCATCTTCATATTCAAAGATCTGCCACAACTGCTACATTATTTCTTGATTCTTTGTTTTTCATATTTCAGGCCATGCGAAAGGAACGCGATAGGCAAATTGCTTGTGGGAAGTTGACTGGTGACAAGAAGTACGTATCGCCAAAAGTTGACAGTTATTAATGTTGAAGATTGATTTCAACTTTATTGATTCATGACAAAATAAAAATTATATAACAGTTTTTCTTGTAGTTCATTAACCGATGTACCGATGGTTTGTATGCAACTGATAAATTTATAGGTGGTAGGAACACGCAACAGTGTTCGCCATTGCACAAATGGGCAGGTCCGTCCGGGTCAGTACCACGACCACACAGAAAGCCGGCGTAAAGTGGAAGTATTGCATTTCTGCGTTTCATCTGGTGAGTGAGGATGCCGGGGCCCACATTATTAAGAGGTGGCAACGCATCTGCAACCCTACGGGTGTTGCAACTGTTCATGGGCGGCGGTCATCACAACATCAGGTGAACCGCCAGCTCGTTTGCCACTTCCTCACATAAAATATGGGCCACGCTTCAACTTCGGGTTTTGCACAAATGGGTAGGTCCGTAAGGGTAAGTACCACGACCTCACAGAAGACCGGCATGAAGAGGTAGTTATACTTCTGCGTTTCGTCTAGTAGAATGAGGTAGCCCACTTTATTAAAAGGTGGCAACGCATCTGCAACCTTATGGTTGTTTCAAATGTCCATGGGCGATGGTTATCACTTAGAATCATAACAACACAAAAAAAAACTTAATTCTGTAATATCCTAAAATTGGGTCACTGTTAAAAAAAAATTGTGGACATGTGTGGACGAAAAGTTTTTCGCCACTTCGGGAATCGAACTGTCCGTCATCTTTTGTTCGCGCACAGAGGTCAGACGCTAAAAGAACCAATAAGCCAAATAGCGGATTGCCACACCGACGAAAATCTCAAAGTATTTTATCAACTTTGTTTTTTCGAAGCTTAAGCATAGCTTGGCGCATGTATTTTTGTATGCTTGGCTGCAAAGGAACAAATTCACATATCGTTTGACAACGATAATTCGAACGAGACATGTCGCCATTGCTATTATAAATTTAATTTTTTTAGTTCTAATCGCTGTATTTAAGATGAAGCCGTTAATAGTTAAAGCGCCAGGGCGCGAATCCGCAAGATTGGGATTGGAAGTGTTTATTTATTTATTTAAGGGTTTTCAAAAATTCAAAACTATCCAAGATCAATACTCTTTTTGGGTACTTTACGATACCCAATGATGTGTATAAATATAACACAATGCCTACACTGTAAGAGTAGATAATCTGCTCCTAGAAATACCTGAAAAATTACATAAATAATGACGAATCTATAACGAAATTTATCTTGTTTAATTTGTATGATGATTTATTTTCGGCGATTTTTGTCTCAGCGTCATTGATCTTAATGTTGAATGGCTACTTAAAAGCTTTTAACAAAGATAGCTGCACTGTCTCATTACTTGTGTTTAAGTAACAGCCTATAAATATCTCACTGCTGGGCAAAGGCCTCCTCTGTACAGAGGGTATCAGGGCATAGTACACCACGCGGCCCCAATGTCGATTGGCGGACTTCAGATATCTTCGAAATATTTTCTTATCTTTTCGAAAACATGCAGGTTTCCTCACGATGTTTAACTTCACCGCTGAGCACGTGATAATTTATAGCACTTATAACAATTTAATTGGTGCCGGCACCGGGGATCAAACACCGGTTGCTCGAGTATATCAAATTAAAAGCGAGCGACCGGACATTGAGCTATCACGGTTTACTTGTCACTCGTGTTTACTTGTCATTTTAATTGTGCATTCCGCACAGATGGAATTTTCCGATGTTTTGTCAGTAACATCGCGTATCAACTTCCGCGCTAAATATCAATGGAATTGTATTTATAAAAAAAAAAAAATACCTCGTTAAAATTTAAAGAACTTGGTTTTTATGTCGCCTTGAGAATATGTAAGATATACAGCGTGTCGTTACATTCGCGACAATAAATTAACACATGTCTAAAGCTACTTGCCAATAATCATAAAAAAAATTAAATGTTAAAAAATCCACAAATAAAAAAAATATTTTTCAAACAATCTAATTAAATGAAAAAGAAACAAAATTTGTAACATCCTATTCAACTACAACTGACAGATTCATACATTCAGTCAGACACTTTTTCATTCGTTGCCGCAACGTAGCACTACAAATCTGTCCTTCTAACAGTATGATTTATCTCTTTCAAATTCATCCAACCCATTCATATGCTTTGTGACCTTTACAACTGAACTTTACGTTACCGTTTTATACGTAAGGGTGTTCTAAAAATGTTTGTTTTGGAAAATTTAATAACTCGGTAAATTTTGATGTTTAAAGAATGTAAATGTTTAATACAATTTAAAAAAGTTATCCTTTATATGTGTGTTCATTTATTGTCGCGATTGTAACGACACGCTGTATATGAACCAGGATGAAATGTATAGTGTCGTAAAATCACAGTCGCTCAGTGTATCCTTCTGTATTGCTTTTTTATCGGTTGCATCATGTGAAATAAATTCGTGCATCTAATGTTGTTTATTCGATACACTTCTACCATTAGTGTTGGGCCTACCGTACATGGCGAGCCTGCCGAAAGAGTTTGCCATACAAACATCGCCGCCTAGCGCTCGTCGGCGCCAAACCATTTATGGACATGGTATGGATTTAATAACGTTGTGGATTTTGTACAACGTGTGCTAATACACAGATATGA